TTTCTACCATACTTAGTTCACACTTATACCTAAGTTATAGCCAGATCTAACCGTTAACAACATCTATATAATTTTCTACCATACTTAGTTCACACTTATACCTAAGTTATAGCCAGATCTAACCGTTAACAACATCTATATAATTTTCTACCATACTTAGTTCACACTTAAATAACACTTGTGTTAAATTACGAAAATTAATGTGGCTCATGGAAACAAACTCACTAAAGTTATCTAATCAGCTTATCAATATGGATTTCAGGAGGAGTGTGAAGTGTTGTCCCAAATTAAAGTTAAGGCTTAGAAGATGCTTATGCAAATTACTGTAGAACAATAAATACGTGGTTCGTTTTTTTTCATATAACTTTAGGTTTTCTCGTTCATCATACTATCAATATCATAGTTCAAGTCAAGTTTTAAGAACGTTTCTTCCATACGAAACAAATATTATCAATTTTTCAATATTAAGCCTACTTCCTACTTCTTACCAAGTACAATTAAGAGAAGTTTAATATTTGCGAATAACATACAAGAAAATAAAAAGCACTTTTAACGAATAATCATTAAAAATATTCAAGTTTTTTGATAAGTAAAATCTTTCTACTTTATGTATATTTAAAGGATTTTCCATTTTAAAAAGTAATCAAAATTCACCGAGATTATGATAGACGTAAATGCCTAATCTATGATAATTGCCATCTAACGATCTAATCCGATGAAGCTAGCCATAACTAAAATTTCCAGTTCGTTTATAATTACAAGCTGTTTATGTGCTCTCTTTTGTGTTCATACTAATGTCATGATGCTTTATACTATATGCATTAATTAGTGTTAACAGATGTCATACATTAATGTAGCTTCGCTACTGACATATTAACTTTCACATTAGGTAATTACTGTTTATAACTATGATAATTTTTTTAACAGTGATAACACGTTCACATTTCTGACTTATTTCCACTCCTCCTCATGGTACCAGATACTACCAAGATCAACGATCCCGACTACAGCAGCGACACCTACAACTGCTACAAGTACACGCAGAAACAGGTTCCTGTTAGTGACTTGGCAAATGGTATTAACCCTTTCCTGGTTGGAGTAGTGCATGGAGAAGCAGGAAGACAAGCAATTGGAATTTCAAATTATGAAAAATGTACAAACCTCGTTAAATTACAAAACCTGTCTAGTTCTTATACACCACAACCTTGTTTAACATCATTACTGGATAGGTCCTTAAAAAGACCATTTTTTATAACCCAAAAGGGAGGAAAAATGTATGAATATTGTTAATAAAACATGCAGACATACGTTTCTGATTTCTAACAATTCTTGAAAATTCTATATTATCTTTCACTGTCAAGTATTTTGTAAAACGTCTTTTTAAAAATAATATACTTCATTTTTCTTTTTAGTGATTTCAACCAATTATACGTTAGATATTTTTTGTTCGGAGCTGTAGAACAGTGTTGTTGATAAAACTATTAGTAGATGACACTTTACATGTTTTTATTAATAAATGTAAAATATTAGTTATGATACAGATAGCCTTTTATTTTAAAAGTAAGTTAGATTATGGGAACAATGACCAAAGATTGAATAGGAATTTAATGTTTCATCTTTAGTTTTTACAAACTTAAATATAATTTAAACGTGTTCACGTACACTTTTGTAAGATTAGAATGACGATAAAAATCGAAATCACATTTTTTTTTATATTAAACACACAGTCATTTCATCACAGTTACTGTTGATTTTAATATTTATTATATAATGTTAAAGCGTTTAATTGTGGCTCATACACGTAACGATAACTCTAACTGCAAACCGCAAGAAACATTTTATAAACTGAAAAAAGTTGAACTCCAAATAATTGATCTGATGTAATAAGTCCAAGTTATGCCTGTGACACTACGTCCTACTCCAAATGATTGATCTGATGTAATAAGTCCAAGTTATGCCAGTATCACTACGTTCTACTCCAATTGATTGATCTGATGTAATAAGTCCAAGTTATGCCCGTGACACTATTCTTAGAACAGATCAAAGTTTTCATTTGTTTGTTTCTTTGAAGATAAGCACAAAGCTACACAAAGGGCTGTCTGTGCTCTGCCCACTATGAGTATCGAAAACCGGTTTCTAGCAGTATTTAGATATACAGTAAGCTATGTTTTTGTACAGTCTTCATGGACGTATGTCTAGAATTTCCCAGTTATAAGATTTAATATATTATGATATATTTTTCACGCTAATTTTTAGGGGAGAAAAATTAAAACTTTTTAACGCAAAATCTTACTTTTTTTTAACTTCGGTTTTTTGTACCTTATTGACAACGGTTAATTTTAACTTCGTTTTTGTTTGTACCTTATTGACAATGGTTAATTTTAACTTCGTTTTTGTTTGTACCTTATTGACAACGGTTAATTTTAACTTCGTTTTTGTTTGTACCTTATTGACAACGGTTAATTTTAACTTCGTTTTTGTTTGTACCTTATTGACAACGGTTAATTTTAACTTCGTTTTTGTTTGTACCTTATTGACAACGGTTAATTTTAACTTCGTTTTTGTTTGTACCTTATTGACAACGGTTAATTTTATATCCAACTTTTATTCTGCGGCATTTTTTGTGGAAAGCTATTACAACAACTACGAAAAATTATCTTCAATTCGGAACTCGTACATTTAGAATCCTTGGCTTGACTCGCATTTCATTTAATTGGAGTTTTTTTTTTGTATAATTATAATTGTGTTTGATACCATCATCGATACACCTCGTTCTCTTCAACACAACCTTTTTAGTAAATAGAAACCTGGTGTCCAAGGATCAAACTAACTATAGCGAGAAGACTGATTCATTTCGTGGTATGTTTGTTTGTAATTCTCTTGTCTAACACTAGTATAGTACTTTAGTTAAAACATTTAGAAATCATTTACACGCGCTCATCTTCAGCCCTTGCTTACTGTGCTAATCCACCTGCGCACTTATTTCACAACACTGTGTGAAGGCAGTTAGAATTGAAGTCGTCATAATACACGAAGACAGTAGATCATATGATCATGTAGTTCAGCACTGAATGGTTGTCGGTGACGTCAAACCAAAACCAAACCCAAACAACGTGGTAATGATTTTGAATTATAAACGTTTAATCCTTTAGAACTGAACACAATCGAGGATGTTCAGAAAAGTTTCTCTTCATTCCCACTCAAGATATTACGAATTAGAAAAACGTACTCGAGAAATAATAAAAATAAAGAAAGAAGAATATAGAATAATAAAAACCTTGCATATTTGATTTTTCAACTTGAATGTCAAGCAAGAGAACCGATGGCGGCACCAGGTGGCGCTATTACA